ACTAACTAACTAACTAACTAACTAACTAACTAACTAACTAACTAACTATCAATATTCAGTATACAATACAATAATGATGATGATGTCCTCCCCATACACACTTATACATATGAATTTACTAAATCATTATTATTATTATTATTATTACAAACATTACATTTCCATGTATTACTATTGTTAAAACCACCATCAAAACTTTTATTAATATAAACTGTACCTCTTCATTAAGTTGCATTTTAATTTATTTCCAAAAGAGCTATTAAATTGAATTTCCTCATTTAAATTGTTCCACAGCTTAACACTCAAAACTTAAACACATCTGTTTCTGTTTCTTTGTACACTTTATATTTTTGCTATTGTTTGATGTAACTGGGACCCTGTGTACACAGTTTCGTTCCACTACATGTACCATATGTGATGCGAACGACAATAAAGAACCTCTGACTCTGAGCATTAGTTCTTAATTTTCGTACTTAAAAAAAAATAGAGGAGTCCCTGAGATTATAAATACTTTTCAGTAACTTGAAAAAAAAACCTTTAAAAACAAGCAGGAAGACTATCCTGATGCATGCTCCAGGTAGAAAAATCCAAAAAAGTTCAATCTGGTCCTCTGGACATTCAAAAAAACAAAACAAAGCAAAAAAATCTAGAAACGTTTCGTCTCCCATCCAAGAGACTTCCTCAGTCTGAGGTGCTGTATTCAGCTCAGTCTCTTAAATAGCACCTTCACAGAGTGGATCAACCAGTTTTGCTGCTGACAACCAAAACCAGCTGATCACATGCTCAAGAAGGACCATCAGCCTAACAATGGATCATTAGCACACTGATGACTGTTTACTGTTCACAGAGGGCTGAGTGATACTAGCAATCACAGCATTGTAAGAGGGGGACAGTTGAACCCGGAGGCCTCCACCCCTGTTTAATGATGGACGATTTCTTTTCACAAAGATGGCCTCCTTTACTCCTCTCTCAAACCATCGTTCCTCTCTGTCCAAGATGTGATCATCTTCATCCTTGAAATCCATCTCCAGGCCAGCGGTCACTCTTTCAAGGATGAAGATGTTCACATCCTGGACAGAGAGGAACGATGGTTTGAGAGAGGAGTAAAGGAGGCCATCTTTGTGAAAAGAAATCGTCCATCATTAAACAGGGGTGGAGGCCTCCGGGTTCAACTGTCCCCCTCTTACAATGCTGTGATTGCTAGTATCACTCAGCCCTCTGTGAGTAGTAAACAGTCATCAGTGTGCTAATGACCCATTGTTAGGCTGATGGTCCTTCTTGAGCATGTGATCAGCTGGTTTTGGTTGTCAGCAGCAAACTGGTTGATCCACTCTGTGAAGGTGCTATTTAAGAGACTGAGCTGAAAACAGCACCTCAGACTGAGGAAGTCTCTTGGATGAGAGACGAAACGTTTCTAGATTTTTTTGCTTTGTTTTGTTTTTTGTTTTTTTGAATGTCCAGAGGACCAGATTGAACTTTTTTGGAAGCAGGAAGACTGTTGTTTTAACCCAATATATTATTTCCACTGTTCTTAAATACACTTCTTCTTCAATTTTAAAGCAGAAGACCTCATGAATAATGGATTTATAAAATAATAAAAACTGGCATTATTTATTAATCTAATTACAAAGTACTTTTTTCTAAAGTTTAATTATTGGGTCTGTTTTGTGTACATTACCCCAAACCTCCATGCAATAGGACATGGCACTGTAAGTGGAAATTAAAGTAAAAGTAAACAACTTCTACTTAATAATTTTAATGTTTTTTAAACAATGGCAACAAAGTTTGATCATTTTTATCTGATATAGTCTATATGTGGTTTTCACTAGTTTTTCATTAATAATTATTCCCCAAAAGATTGTTTCAGATACTTATTGAATTTCAACTCCATGTAATTTAAATTTTATAACTAAGCCTAGCTCCACTAAATACCATACATTTGGTTTTCCATTTATTTAAACATATTGTATTAATTTCAATATCAGTTCCTTTTCTACTGTTATTCTTCATGTCATTTTCTCAAAAAAAATAAAAATTGTATTATCTGCAAATTACACAATTCAACTCATTTGATAACCTAAAAATGCCATTTAAAGAAATTGTAAATAACACTGGCCCAAAAATGGAACCTTGTGGAATGCCACAGATTACTCCTGAATTATGAATGAATATTAATATTTCAGTGTATTAACACTGATTATTTAAATTTCTTGTTAGCCATTGTTTGATAATACATGCTAAGGTTTATAAAGTATGCTAGCCATCTTGAATCTCTTTGTCTCCAAAATCTAATCAGTTGTAGATGCACATCCAGTGATCCATTTCTAAGCATTTCATTAAAATCCATCCAGTGATCCCAAGATATTTTGCTAAAAGCAAACACAGGCACATGCATTCACATCATCAGCTGCCTTTGATGGCAGCTGACAATAATACGTGCATATAAACTGTTTTAATATCTTAAAATATAAAATAATTCACTGCGAGAACTTTTTTACAAGTCAACTAAAATGAGAAGTTTAAAGTTGAAAACAACAACAACAACAACAACAACAACAACACAAACTTAAATAAAAAAAAAGAAAATGGCTTCATGCTAATGTAAATGGTATTTCTCATATTTGTAACATAGAAAATTGAAAGACTGGACTAAAAAAGAACAAAACTAAACAAAAACTATCTGACAAGGATTTGAACAACCCAGACAGCAAATATGGGAGAGGTGCTGCCTCAGGTGGACCAGTTCAAGTAGCTCAGGGATTTTTTTCACGTGCGAGAAGAATGGGATGGTACTGTGTACTCTGTGCCGGACCGTTGTGGCGAAGAGGGGGCTGAGCTGTAAGGCAAAGCTCGCTGTTTACCATTATGCCTATGTTCCTACTATCACCTATGGCTACAAACTTGGGGTACTCTGGCAAAGAGATTGTGAACACAGACTGCAGGCTAGCTTCCCACGAACGACAAAAAAAGAAGTTGGTAAAGAGGATGGATGAATCAGAGACAGGGGGAGTTTTATTATCCTATTATCCAGGAACGCCTCAGAGCAGAACCGCTGCTCCTCCATATCGAGAGGAGCCAGGTGATGTGGTTTGAGCTTCTGGTAAGGATGCTCCCTGGACATCTCCCAAGGGACGTTTTACAGGTATGTCCAACTGGGAGGAGACCCCAGGGAAGACTCAGGACACACTGGAGAAACTACATCTCTTGGT